CTATGGCCGGTTACAAGGACATGACCTTAGCCAAATAAAGCAGACAGACGAAAAGAACCAAGTTATGCGGCACTTTGGCGGGGGCTGGGGCCCCGTGGACTCCCAAGGGCACCTCCTAGGAGAATGTGATGTACCTCACCCTCCCCATGAGGCTCCATCAGATTCTGAGAGCTGCGGACAGCGGGACCCCTCCCCACTCCCCCTCCCTCAGATGCAGGCCAGGCCACCAGGGGGATGTCTGCCACCTCTCCCAATTCACCGCATCCAAAGGGCCTCCTCCTCCCACTTCTGGAATACACGATGTGAGGTGCAGGAGGGCAAGGGTCCCTCGAGAGATCAAAAGTGAGGGTTTTGCCAGGACCGAGCATTCTGAGGCCGTGTGCCCTTTGAAAGCTCCAGGCAGAGGGTCCTCAGGAAGGAATGTGACCTAGCACGGTCCCATGGCGTGGTTGTCTCTGGGTCCTTGGCTTGGATAATCCCACACCCAGAAGGAGGAAAGGCAGGAGCAGAGGTGCTGGACTCCACCGCTGGGAAGTGGGGGGAGTGAAGCACCCAGTCTGGTGATGTAGGTGCAAGAACAGAGGCCCTCTCTCCTCTCTGCCCCACACACAACCAAGCCCTTCTCCGCCCCATTTCTGTCATTGGCTTCACCATTGTTCTTGGCCCGGCCTCCATCTGGGACGCTACACTTCCCGGATCACCCAGATTATGGCTTCTCTTCTTTACTGCTTTTCTGGCTTCATCTCTTCCTCTCCTGTCTCTACCAGCTTCGCCCAGACCCTCATCCGCCTGAACGCAGGATATCACAGACTTCTGTTTCACCCTAACTGGTCTAATGCCAACTGGGGGAAGCATTGGATGCCACAGGTTACCGGGTGTTTTCCACAAGACCACCCTCATTTCAGATGCCAGCCATAAATCTCATGGGTCCCCAAGTCACCCACATTTCTGGCCAACTGGCTCTAAATTCCAGGGTTCCTGCAATGCCCAGAGGTTCAATAAGTCACTGGAACAACTCGTAGAACTCAGGAAAGTGCTAGACTTAGGATTGCTGTTTCGCTGTAAGGACAGACAAACGTAAGTTCTGGAAGGGTCCTAGAAGCAGAGCTTCCAAGCCCAGGCCCCCAGTAGACAGGTGTGTCACCTCCTGGCATATCAGTGTATTTACAATCCAAGAAGTTCCCCTGAGCCTCAATGTCCAGCATTTTTATTGGGGTTTGGGGTAAAGGGTTGATGTCAAGGGGCTCAAAGTACCAACCCTCTCAGTCACACGGTTGGTCTCTGTGGTGTGGCCTACCTTCATCCGGATTCTTCTCTTTACATCAACTGTCAACTAGTCATCTCATTAGTGTAAACTCTCAGGGCCCACCAAGAACAGCAAAGAGCACTTGTCACTTGGAAAATCCCAAGGATTTAGAGTTTCTCTCTTAGGAACCAGGAACGGGGGCCAGTCAAATTCTTTATGATAGCACATCTTTTGACTGGTCTTGACCGGTAAATAACCTCTGTCTCTTAAGTAATATCCATTCAATAAATATTTATAGGCCAGTCCCTCCCCCCCGCCCCCACCGCACAACTCAGGGGGAAGCTGAAGGTGAATGATGGGTATGGTCCTTGCCTTCCTGGTGCTTAGAATCTACCGGAGAGTAGAGCATTACAACACAGTGGGGTGCCTGTGGTTGGGTCAGGAAGGCCAAGAGCCCCAGGCACCCTCAGAAGGAGCAGTGAACCCTGGCAATGAGTTAGCCAGGGAAGAGGGGGAGAAAGAAAGTTCTAGGTGGATGGCACAGGTGTAAAATCTGAGAGGCACAAAGGAGGGTGACCCAGTCAAGGGGCTGAGGGAAGTTCGGAGTACCTTGCATCTAGAGGGGAGAATGGGGAGATACGGGGCTGGAAAGTTCCATGGGGGGGTGCTGGGTGACAGCTATAGAATCATCCCCAATACGAGGACACACTGTTCATCCTCAAATACTGCATTCATGATACCAGGCCTTTGTTTAGAAACCTACTGTGGCTACCACTTCCCCTAGGGCCTGGTGTAGGGCCAGGACACATAATTCATAGCCGGGTTTCTTAAGCTCCAATCAATCAGCTTGGATGGGAAAAAGTTATGCTTATTTCCAATGACCTCTTATTTGAAATTTAGCATCTCTTGTTATTGCGTAGACTGTAGATACCAGAGCACAGTAGCAGTTCCAGAGACTCTGTGTTACTTTATACTTATCAGACCTGCCACTAGACCTCGTTAATGTGATAACAAAGGAGATTTGTGCTCAAACAAAAATCTGGGGTTTTAATTTTGATTATTGTTTTTAAATATTTTCACTTCCTGGGGCTCCTGGGTGGTTCAGTCGTTAAGCATCTGCCTTCAGCTCAGGTCATGATCCCAGGGTCCTGGGATTGAGCCCTGCATCGGGCTCCCTGCTCCGTGGGGAGCCTGCTTCTCCCTCTCCCTCTGCTGCTCCCCCTGCTTGTGCTCTCTCGCTCTCTCTAAAAAAAATAAATAAAATCTTAAAAAAATTTTTTTCATTTCCTTTGTAGCCCTACATATTTTATTTTATGAATTTGAAAACATTATTCCGAGTAGGGGTCTGTGGGCCTTGCAAATTGATGCTTGAGTTTGGGTGTATTGAGCCATCTCCCTGGTGCAAGTCCATCCCTTCTACCACCTGGTGCTATCACAGGTGCTCTGGGACACCTGTCCCCAGAGAAACCAGCAGCATCAACGGCATGCAGGGCATTGGATAAGGAAATGTCCCAGGGGGATGGAACCCCTCAGTTGTAGGTCTATTTCAACCAGTGAGCTGAGAGGGGGACAAACCCTCACACTCCCTTGAGAAAAATGGCTTGGGCCACTTTGGCCTACTGAGATTTGTCCCATGACACCCATTATCCTAGCCACAGCCAGCTGGACCAAGGATCTCACTCAGATCTGGCTAGTGGCCCGGGAAGTGGCCAGGCAGGAGAGCTTGCCAAATAGGTCCTTAGATTCTGTCTCTTGGGAGTTTGAATTTGAAGGTACAAAACTGTCAGCGGTTGGGAGGACCCGGCGAAGCGACAGACACCAAGACAGATGTGAAATATGAGACGGACGGAAGTGAAGTCCAAGTCGGAACTTGCCAGGTTAGGGCGACCGTCCACCCGACTCTCCTGGAGGAGGTCTGGCCCTGTGCCTGTGTCACTTTGTGGAGATCTGCTTCTTACCACTTGGAAGAGCTCAAGAGCTATAGCAGGCCAGGAGTCCCCGGCTGTACAAGGCTCATCCAAGAGCATGGCTCCTGGCATGCCAGAGACCCCAAATCAGGAAGTGGGGGGCTTTCTCCTCAGTCTCCCTAATCCTGTGCGACCTCCTCCTGGCTCAGTAGGCCCCCACCCCTCGTGCCCAGTGCCAGGGCCCTGTTAACTTCTTTGTCCTTGAAGGTCCCTTTCCAAGGGTTCCCTATCTGCTTGACTGCTCACAAAGCAGCTAGAGCCAGGAATGCCCTGTGGGGTTGGGTTGGGGGTGGGAGCAGACGGACAGCAGACCAGCAGAAACCAGGAGGGAGGGACAGAGAGGTCTGCCACTCCCCACACGCGAGAGGCAGTGTGGAGTAGACCTCTCTGTTCTAGCTCCCTTGGTTTCCCTTGTCCAGGCTCCTTCTCTCCCTCTAGGGTCTGCAACACTCCCCTCCTCTCTAGAATTCCTCCTGGATCAAACCGAGTCCACTCTCTTGGCCCAGAAACAGATTCAGATGCAGCTACATCCATAGCTCCTTTCATCCCAACAACGTTTTAGAGATGAGGCCATAAGGGCGAGAGAAGTCTGAGGCTGGTAGTCAGAAGGGAACAGTCCAAGCTACTTAGGATGCTCTATAAAAACCCTGCACAAGACCATCTCCCCAGCGCCACTGTTCAGAGCTCCCACCCCGATCCCCACTGCGCCCTTGCCAAGCTGATACACTTGCATCTCCCAAAACGCGCCCTTTCGGCTCCAAGTCTTTCTCCTGATGTTCTCCTAACACACCCCTAGGATGCCCTGGTGAGTTCTGGGTCAACCTTTAAGACTCAAAGTGTGCTCAGCGGATCCCGCGAGGCAGGGATCCTGTCCTAATTGCCTTTGTATCTCCAGCTTTGGTAAGGGGCCGAAAATTAGAGGTGTCCCCTGGCCCCAGTGTCATGAAATTATTGGATTCTATAAGTAGAGTCAGCACTTGGAACCCCGTGGGTGGGGTTTATTCAATCGTTCAACGATACACAATAGGTCTGTTATGTTCTAAACTCTGCGGGGTGCTGGGGATCAAACATGAATGGAGAAATTAGCTGGGAGGGATATAACTGAGCAGAAAGTTTAAGAACATTCTAAAAATCTATGAAAGAGAAACAGCACAGGGTTTAATCCGTGTTTTCCTCCAGGTGCGTGTGGGGGCGGCCCCCCGTCCCCACCCCCCAGTCCCCCACCGCGTTCTCAAGGCAAGATTTGAGAGGGATTAAAAATACCTAATCCCCGGGTTGGGTCTCGCATGCAGGAAGGCGAAGAGGCCTGAATCCTAACCGGGGCCCCACACCTGGCCCCACTGTTCCCCTAATTCCCCGCATCCGGGAATTAGCGGTCTGGTTTGCAGCTCGCTGCCATCCAGACGCCCCAAGGAGGGAGCTGCAAGACCCTCCGACAATTCTCCCCGGACTCAGGAGACCCCCACCTAGGCGTCTCTGTTCCTTGCGCGAGCGAGGGCCCCCAAGGAGGGTCTCAGGAGACAGTGTTAGAAGATGCGGCCCCTTGAAAGACAGGAGACTGGGGGGGCGCGACCTAGCGGGCAAGAGGGCGTCCCAAACCCCAGGCCCGACATCTGAGCTCGCAGCCGACCCCCAGGTCCCGCCCCCCGCCCCCGGGGAGAGCCGGGCTTCCGGGGAGCCGCCCCGCCGGGCACCGCCCCCACGGCGCAGGCGCCGATTGGCCAGCGCGGCCGCAAGGGCGGGGCCCATGCCTAAAGGGGCGGGAGCTAAGATGGACCGGAGGCGGCGGAGGTGATGCCGCGCGCCACACGTGGGTGTCTTCTACTTCTCTCTAATGCCCGCACCTAGTGCCGGGTCCATGGAGCCCACGCGACACTACCCGCTGTTCGGGGGCGCCTTCTCCGCCAGTCTCCCTCCCGGGGCCCTTGACGTGAGGTGAGAAGGCGCGGGCGCCGCGGGCCGGCCGGGTGGGATGCGGGCAGAAGCGGGGCTCAGCCGGGGTCGGCCTCGCCTCTCTCCAGCGACCTCCGACCGGTCCCGGACAATCAGGAAGTTTTCTGCCACCGCGTGACGGACCAGAGCCTGGTGGTGGAACTTCTGGAGCTGCAGGCCCACGTGCAGGGCGAGGAGGCTGCGCGGTGAGGGAGGCGGCCGCCCGCGCGGCTGGCCAATGGGAGGGCCGGAGCCGGAGAGGTGGGCGGGGCCTGCGGCCGGGCGGTTAATCGGGGCGATGAGAACTCCCAGGGCAACACCTTATCACCGGAAGTGAACGAAGCTTAAGAGACTCAAAGATGCTGGGGGGCGGGGGGTTTGGGGGAGTGAGAGACGTCCCTCCCTGACCCCGCCCCCCCTACTCTAGGTACCACTTTGAGGACGTGGGCGGGGTGCAGGGGGCTAGGGCCATGCAAGTGGACAGTGTGCAGCCCCTCCCTTTGGAGAACCTAGCTCTGAGGAGCTTCTGTCAAGAAGCCTGGGTCCTCTCTGGCAAGCAGCAGGTAGCTAAAGAAAACCAGCAGGTGAGGGCAGGGGAGTGTGAGATTCCTGGAGGGGTGAAGGGAGTGGCCGGGGCGGGGGGCGGTCCCGTAAGCATCTCTACTCTGATCCCTTTAGGTAGCAAAGGATGTGACCGTACACCAGGCTTTGCTGCGGCTGCCCCGGTACCAGACTGATCTCCTGCTCACCTTCAACGATCCCCCGTAAGGAGGACGAAAAGGATGCGTGGCTCATGACTGGGTCCCCAGGAGGATCTGCTGGGAGGGGCAGAGCCAGGAGACTGGCTGGTGGGGTCCTCCAAGGAAGAGGGAGAGGGCCAGAGGTTTGGGGTCACAGATACTCAGGTCCTACGGGGCACAGGAAGTGGGAACTTCCCCACCCGCGGCCTGGATGATGTTCTCTCTCCATCTGTTCCCCCCACCCCCAAGCCCTGACAATAGGTTATCTCTTAGCCCTGAAAATCTGTCACTTCCGCCCTGGAGCCTGGGTGACTTTGAACAGCTGGTGACCAGTCTGACCCTGCACGACCCCAACATCTTTGGTCCCCCGTAAAGATGCTGAAACACTGCGTGAAGCTGCTCAAGTGCATGGGGACCCCGTTCTTCAAGGGGAACAAAGGGTTGGATATATGCCCCTAATTCCTCCCCTGTGCATAAACATAAGACACCTCCTGTCTGCAGAAATAAACTTGCTTTATAACCAAGATAATATCTCTGTGCCTTTGCATCTAACAAGACATCTGGGTCCCCCCAGTTCCCTTTGGTCTTGGAGTGGGGAGTTAAAAGTTTGTGCATAGGATCAGAAGGGACCCAAGGCTGTCCAGATAAAAGGAGGAAATACTTTGGAGTGACTGGTTCAGCCCTGAGGGGGTGTGTGTGTGTGTGTGTGAAGTGTCCAGGAGGACGGATTAAAAGGGAAGGTTTAAGAATGACACCCTAGGAAGGGAGGGAGACTGTCCCTTGTAGTGATTCAACCCTGAGAAAACAGACGGGGAGTGGAGTTGGCTGCCCCCCTTGGAGGGACGAAAGGTCACCCGGTCAGAAGTCACCAGGGCATGGGAGTGGAGGCAGAAGTGTCCAAGGAGTGCTGAGCTGGTGGTGTGTGAAAGAATGGCTGTTGTCATTTGGTGTACGTGTAGTAAAGGGTGCGTAACCGGTCCCAGAAGAAAAGGGAAAGGATGGTGTGGGGGCCAAGGCGGAAGTAGGAGGCGCCTATACCCTTGTACATGCCAAAAATGCCCTCTGTCCGAGCAGTCTGCAGCAGAGCGTCCAGCATCCCCCGGTACATGAGGCCCTGAGAGCAGGTTGAGAGGGAGGGAGAGCACAGGGAAGGCGTTTGTCAGAGCCCACCAGGGGCCTCATCTCAGCAGGCTGCACTTCAGGCTGTCCCACCTGCGCCCACCATTCGCTTGCACCCACCGTCTGGCCTGCCCTGCCTGCCGGCCCTCCAGAGCCTTCCCTTACCTTGCCCCGAGCGTCGGTGGGCTGGTTGTAGAGCCTTGTGCTGACCACATCAAAGGGTGTCATGGCCAGGACCACTGCAATGCCACTCACCATGGCAGCCACCAGGGCCACCTTCCAGCTCTGGGGAGGAAATATCTAAGGGTGGAAGGAGGAAGAGGTTTGTCAGCCAGTCATTCGACCCCTCGGAAAGGACGGGCCCTGCCCCGGGGAGAGAGTAGAGGGCTGGTAACCCAGGGAGCTTCCATGCCACCAGTTAGGACACGGTGTGGGAACACTGTGAAGTAGGAAGGGCAGGATGCTCAAGAACTCAGATGCACCATCTGGGAGGAAGTGACAAGAGGATGAGTGGGGAGGGTGTAGAGTCCGCAACCCCCAAGCCCTCCTGCCATTCCCTGACATTGACCACGAGCACTGTGCCCTCTGGGGCCCCCTTCAGCTTGCCCGCCCCCTGCCCACAGTCCCAGGGTGGCCCCACCCCTTCCCCTGGGGCAGTACCTCCCACTGAGTGATGAAGTCCTTGGTGGATGAGAAGGTGCACAGCTGGGTGGAGGAACCGATGATAACTCGGGGCAGGCCGCCCAGGGCCCCACGCCACAACCCCACCAGACCATGTTTCTGGCCAATCTCGCTTAGCGCCTGAAACATGCCCTGGCAGGGGGAAGACCACAGGGGCGGGCTTCAGTCCCCCCCAGCATCAGGGGCTGCCACCTCACACTGCCAAGGATGGGTCCTTCACGGGCACCCACGTCTGGGCAATTGGTTCCGCGTGGACTTAGAATCAGAATGTGTCTACCACCCGCCATTGCTCCCTTCCTCACTGCTCCAGAAAAGGGGCAGGGTGGGGCTGGATCGATGGGCTCGGTTGCAGCTGTCAGGGGCAGGCAGAGAGCTGGGGTGGGGAGGTGGTGGGGGCAATGGGAAAGAATGGGCAGGGACCCCAGCAGGGTTGGAAAACTCTCACCTGATGCTTATACTGATGCCCTACAGCAATTTCTGAGGCCGCCTGTGCCTGTAGGTGTGTCTTCACCTGGGAACAAGAAAGTATCACAGCCTACGGCCCAGTGGCCAGCCTCCCACCTCAAAGACCCAAACGCCTGACCCCGTCATACTTCCTCTAGGGTGTTCAGCAAGCACTATCCTCTTAATCTGATAATTATTGTTGTTCCCATTAACACATTGGTCATGAGACTCTGTGTCCCTTGGCTCCAGTCCCAGGGGATGGATCTCCTAGCACTGCAAGACACCCCACCCTCCCTATATCCTCCTTCCTTTGGGGTTGGGTGGGGGATGGAGAGGTTAGAGAATGGCAACATTTCCTAAGAGCGTTCCCGTTAGGCAACACTTGGGTGTCCAGCCTCTCATATCAGCTCCTATTCCCAGACTGGATCTCCAGCCAACACCGTGACCAGGCTCCCCATCCAACCCTGGGGCCGGTTGACTCTGGAGGGGTCACTGTCCCTGAATGTCGCACCCTGGGAGTGAGACCAGATTGCCTCTCTTCTAGAACTGCCTGCCTCCCAGTGTCTTCCAGGAGGAGCACTAAGCAGGACCTAGTCCTAGCAACAAGCAGCTGTGTGACCTTGAGCTGGTCACTTCCCTTCTCTGGGCCTCAGGCTATTGACCCTTCACCTATTCCAGAAAACTCAAAGGAGGAGACTGTGGGATTCTAATTTTGTGGTGCCCAGGACTTTTCCTGAACCCTACACCCGCGGATGTATGGCACCCAAACTCCGCATTGTCCCCGACACAAACCTACTTCCAATCTCAGTGTCAGGTTGTGAAGGCCCAGGCCCCACCCTGCACCAAAGGTCTGCTTGAAGGCCCCAGGCAAGACCCTTCTTCTCACCATGTAGATGGGGCTCCCCAGGTAGGCTCCCATGACCCCAGCCAGGGCCCCAGCCGCAGCGCTGCGGGGTTGGCTGAGGGTGCCTTCAGCCGTGTGCAGGTGGCCCCCAGCCTCAGCCAGCCCGTAGGTGCCCAAGCGGATGCCATTCATCAGGAACTGGTATAAGAGAGCAGGGGCCAGTCCCTTCTGCAGGGCAGCCAGGCCATCCACCTTGCCGATGGTGATGAAGGCATGGAAGACGTTTCGGTAGTGCCGCTGGTAGGTGCCCGGGGCCTGCAGTTCTCCCTGCAACTGCATCCTGGTCTTTACCACTTCCAGGGGGTTGGTGAACAAACAGGCCCCGCAGGCTGCCAGGCCACTCATCAAGAAGTCCATGGTGGGGTAGCAGTAACAGGAAGTGGCCCAGGAGTAAGAAAGTAAAAACAAGCTTCAGAAACGGGGTCAGAACTCAGGGGGAGGCCTCCGTGTCAGCAGTCCCTCCCCCCCTTCCGCTGCAGGAGATAGGAATTTAGAGGTCTGGAGTCCAGAATGTTAGGGTCAGAGGTCAAGAGGTCAAGGGTTAGCTGGAATTTGGGAGTCAGGAGCTGGCAAAGAGAGAAGGAAAAGAAGTTTAGGAGAGTCTGGTGAGAAGGTTATGCCAGGGCTCCGTCGGTCACGGGATCTGAGGTCAAGGAGGGGCAAGAAGCCAGAAGGATGGCAGGTGGATGATGGGGATGGTCGGCTCCGGGGCCCCGGAGCAGGGGAGGGAAGCGCGGATTCGGGAGATGGGAGCCGGGAGGAAGGAAAAAGAAAAGCAGCGGGTTACGGAGGAAGAGGATCCGGGAGAAGATCGGTGGCGTCTGTATCGGGGAAGGAAGTCGGAACTCCGGCCAGGGATGAGCGTCCCTAAGTAGCTGGCCGCCGAAGCCCGCAGTAGCTTCGCTGGGGGCAGCCTGCGGAGGCCGGACCGCCACACTCCAGCCACCGGAGCGCGGCGCCCAATCGGGAGCCGAGGCGAGCCGGGGCCCGCAGCCCCAGCCAATCAGCGCCGAGCCGGCTCCGCGGCCAATGGGAGGTGCTCTCGGCGACCCGGCCCCCGGAATCCGCGGGGAGGCGGTTGGAATTAACTCTCCGCGCGCCGGCGCCCCACACTCGGGGCTCGGGGAGGGGCGCCCCGGGAGCGGAGCTTGTATCTCTCGCGGGGAGGAGAGCTTGGGCCCGGGGCTACGGGACGGGCGCAGAGGCGGAGAGCAGAGGTCGCAGTCCCCTACGGGGCGGGGGAGGGAGCGGGGTTGACGCTGCTCCTGATGCGGGCGGAGGGCGCCCCTGTCTGGGTTCGCGGCGGACGGGGACTGCCAAACAGCAGATCCGCTCCCCCGCGGCCCTGGCGCCAGGTGAGCCCGGAAGCTGCGGCTCCGCCCGCAGGTGCGGAGGGGACACACCTGCTGGACCGGACGGATCTCCTGAGGCTGGGGGCAGGATTCGTAGGTCCCAGCGCCGGGGTGTGGCCGCTGCGGGCCCCGAAGGATGGCGTGGGAGTTCAGCCACAGCCCTGAGCTCTTCTTGATCCTCGCCGCAATCCAGAGGAGAAGGGCGGACGGGCCGAGGCAGGGAGGTGGATCCCCGGGTTTAGCTTTCCACTGTCAGCTAGTGGTGGGAGAGCGCCTGTGAGTCTGGACTGCTGTCTTTGCTCATGAGTCTAGTAACGGTTAATCACGGGAGAACTGAAAAAACAGACCGGGGAAGCTAGCAACCCCGGGAAGGGGTTGAAGGAGAAAGAAGGCTTGGAGAAAGAAAGCAGGATGTGGGATGTCAGCTGGGGCGGGGGTGGGGGGGGGAGGAGGAGGCAGAGGCTGTCTGCCTGCGTGTGAGGCAGCCTCCAGATTTAGACTCAGAGCGCCTTTGGAGCTCCAGTGTGTGTTTACTTGCTTACCAGCTGGATGAACTTAGGCAAGTTACTTAACGTTTCAGAGCTTCCTTTGTCAATGGAATGCTAATTACCTATTGCACTTACCTGAGGGAAAGTGCTGGACTCACACCAAGAGCCCAGTTATCAGGGTTCCAGAAAAGTCAAGAGCTGCCAGACCCCTGTGCCCTCGTGTATCCTGTTCCCACTGCTGGGAATGGCCCTTCCCCTTCTTTTGGTGATTCCCAAATCATTCCTCACCTTGAGCTTTATCTCTCCCGACCCTTGAAGCTTTCTCAAGTTCTCCACTTTCAGCCATCTCCATCCTGCTTTGCTCCTCAAGCAGTTACCCACATTTCTCATTTTAAAGATTTTTATTTATTTGACAGAGAGAGATACAGCCAGAGAAGGAACACAAGCAGGGGGAGTGGGAGAGGGAGAAGCAGGCTTCCCGCGGAGCAGGGAGCCCGATG